CACCCCTAGTTCCCTGGTTCATCTCATTTAACTCTCTCTGTTAACTTAGAAGTCTTTAGGACACATATCTCTTTATCAGACTGTAAAAAGAATGTCATTAGCATTTAGCCTCCTATAATTGCTCAAATGCTTTTACTTTTCTAGCTCTTTGTTGATTCCTGTGTTTATCTTTCAGTTTTCTCCCAGCTCTTTTTTTTTTTTTAATTAGTAATACTTGAAAGTCCTTTACTCCATTAAAGATCCATCTCCCCTCTTCAGGTTTACACTTGATTTTGCAGAATTAATTATTCTTGGTTGTAAGCATATATCTTTTTATATATTATTGCCTATTATTTTCTCTGCTTTATAGTTGCTGCTAGTTCTTTGGTGATCCAGAATATGTAACCTTGGTACTTGATCTCTTTCTTTGTGACTATTTGCAGTATTTTTTCTTTGAACTTAAAGTGATAGATTTTGACTGTGACATTCCTGGGATTTTATAGTTTCTTTCAAGACGTGGCCAGGAGATTCTTTATGTTTTCATGTTGCCCTTTGATTCTAATAAATCTGGACAGTTTTTATTAAGATTTCTTAAAATATGACATTCAGCTGTGCATACTTCTCACAAAGTCTTTTTTTCTTTCCCAAATGAGGGTAGATAGGCAGAAGAAAAAATAAATGCTTGTTAATTTTTTTTTAAATCAATTAAAAGAAAAGATATATAGTGTTTAGATTTTTTAAATTGGTCCTGAATCTCAAGGAGTCTGATGACTCTTAAATGATCATTGCTTGACCTGATTTCCAGGTCAATGTTTTGGTAGTAGGCAGCTTACATTTTTGTCTAACTTTTCAATCTTTTGATTTTGTTCTAATATTTCTTTTTCTTAAAGAATCATTGCATTTTGTTTTCATTTCCTTATTTGTATGTATGTAGGTCTTAAATATGTTTTGGTAGTGCAATCTTGATACTGCATGATTTTATGGTTATCTTCTTTTAATTTTTTTATTTTTCTAAGTTTGACAAATGACAACAAACATGTACACTTCCATATACAAAGAACATAAAAAGAGTGGTATGTATGAAACCAGAAACTCCATCATAAACAGCTTTTTCTTTTAAAGTACATACTCAATTCATCATGTTAGTTCCAAGGTTATCTCATTTGTGCTGCTTCCTGCCCTCTGAACCTTCTTTCTCTGATCTCCTTGTATTTTCTTCAAATATGTCATTGATGTTCTTCTCTTCCTATCTGTTTTCCCCATCACAATTACCAATCTCTCTTTATCTCCCCTTAAATGCTTCACTTCTAACAAGTGAATAAAGAAGGAGCTGTCTTCCCATCTCCCCTCTCCTGCTCCAACCTCACCTACTGCCCATGGTAGATGCTTAGAATTGGCCTTCCTGGTTCAGGTGAACCATGCAGAACCTTTTAGTGTTTGCTTCATGCCATGTGTGACTCATCTGTGAGGGGCTAGTCCTGTCAGATGACAAAGTACTCCCAAGACAAAAGAACTGATGACTCAATGGATGAGCCAAAGAGAGTAGCCATTACCTCTTTTTTGGCTGTGATTAATCCATGTGGCCAATAGTGCTTTGTGACTCTGGATTCCGATGAAATCTTGGGGGAATGGGTGGCACTTTGTTACTACTCCACTGTTGCCTCATATGGAGGGTAGACAAGGTGAGCTTATGCCCCTGCCATCTTTCTCTGCTTTATTTTTTCTTTCTTGAGTATGTGAGAGATACTTAAAACATCACTAATGTGAAAATATGTTTAATAGGAATGTATATGTATAGCCTATAACAAACTGCATGCCGGTTTTTGGAAGTGATTGAGTATGAGAGCAAGCACAACTCTCAAGGTGATTATGTCCAAAGTTAGAGCCAACCTTGAGAGTTTAAAAAGTCCTAGTTTTCATTTTTTAGTTTTTTATTTATTTTTTTGGCTGGGCAATGGGGTTAATTGACTTGCCCAGGTCACACAGCTAGTAAGTGTTATGTGTCTGAGGCCGGATTTGAACTCAGGTCCTCCTGACTCCAGGGCCAGTGTGCTATTCACTGTGCCACTAAAAAGTCCTAGTTTTAATGAGAGAGACATTTGATTATAATAGATTCCAGATCAGTTAACTATAGAAATAACCAAGTGGAAAGTTCAGAGGTCAGAGTTTAGAGCAGAGTGATAATGCAGAACTCCAAGGCAAAATGTAAACTATCTGATCAGAAATAACACAAACTACTTTATGTTCTGATGAAGTTTAAATATCATCCTCCTAATAGATTGTAACAGAAATTATAAATCGTTCATAAATTCTGTTCTACTTATATGTGCTTACAGTGCCCTTACAGTGTTTAGAACTCCTTTTATGTGTAGGAATAAATTACCTGTCCCATATTATACACTGAGTACTTTTAACATTCCCCCTCACATTTTGGAGAGGGCCTTGGTTAACTCATCCATAAATAAAACTGTCCATAAGAGTGTTGTGGGGAAAGAAAGGACTTAAATGAGTCAAACAGTGAAACAAGGGACCCTGACCTCATTCATCGGAGGTAGGATCCCTGGGACTGAACCGGGTCCATTCACATGCCTGGGTATAGGCATGAAGAACAGAACAGAGAGTGAAAGCAGAACTCATTATTCCATTTCTCTGACACTCCTCCCCTGCCATTTATTCTGTCTATTAAGGGTAAATTAGACAATAGACAAAACAAACACACAATGGCCACGTCCAAACAATTTATTTACTGCAGATTCTTTTAATTAATTTTATTGTGCATTCTGAAATCAGGCCTCTTGAAGTCAGTTTGAACTGTGTGCAAAGTGTTATGCAAATTAATTTTCTGAGCCAAAAATCCTACTAAGATCCAACAGTTTTGATACAGAGGTCTTCAGAATGTTTTCTCTAAGAAGAAAGATTCAATACATGTCAAATCCATTTAAAGGAATAGATAATAAACATCATTGGTTAAATATCTCTGCTTCTGAAAAGCACAAGTCCAAATATGGAATTTATAATTTTAGCAAAAGGGGAAAGGAATAGGAAGTTTCTGGCACTTAAATCATTTCAATTTTCAGAGTTCTAAGAGAAATATTTAAATGTAATGGAGTTCTTTGAAAGAATTAAACTGAAGTTTTAGTCAGTTAGGGATAGGGATTAAATTCCTGATCTCATTGACTGAGGAAATTCCCGAAGGAGACAAATACTTCTCCCAATGCTAGTTGGCATCTTCTCTGCAGTTTGTAATCTTAGAAAGTTGCCAGAGGCATCGAGAGTTTACGTGACCTGCCCAGGCACACACTGTGTCATACACGGTGTGTATGTATCAAAGACAGTGCCTGAAACCAGGTCTTTCTAACTCCCAAGGTCAGCTCCTTTCTCCCCTGTCATATTTCCTCTTTCTCACATAAGGATATTTTTCATATTTAAAACCACAACTCATCTCAATGTTATTAAATATTTGTTGAACACCATGTACTTAGTGCTGAAAAAAAGTTATTTTTCAGAATACTATTTTTTTAAAAAGTTACTTTTTGGTAGTTAATGTTTAATCTAGGATTAGGACATAAGGAGGTGTATTATACCTTGCAATTCTGTTTCTAAAGATACTCTTTCTAAAGAAAATGCAATGAGTGTGTGTGTGTGTGTGTTTTAATAAAAGAAACTTTAGTTTACCTTTGGCCTTGAGGCCACATGTAGCCTTCTAAGTCCTTGGGTTCAGCCTTTGACTGAGTCCAAGTTTTACAGAACTAATCCTTTTTAAGGGGATTTGTTCTGTGAAGTTTGGATTAGGTCAAAGGGCCACACTTGAGGACCTAGAGGGCCAAATGTGGCCTTGAGGCTGAAAGTTCCCCACTCCTGGTCTAGGAGTTGGGGGAGGTGATAGGATTTGTATTCATTCTGTTATCAATGATTTCAACAAATTATGAATTTTTCTAGTTTAAGAGCTGGACATACCAAAAGAAATTGTGTAATCCTAGTTTGCCAATTACCCCAACCCCAGCTTTGGGGGCAAGTCACTCAATTTCTCTAGAAATTCAGTTTCCTCATTTGTAAAATGAGGGAGTTGGACTAGATTGGCACTAGAGTCCCTTCGAACTCTCTCAATCTATTATTCTATGCTTGTTTAATGGAACTGAGTTAGAAAAATAAACTCACTTTACCTGTAGGTGATACAAGTATCTTATCTGGAAAAACTACTAGGCCTTAATAAGAGAACTGTAAGAAGAAAAGGGACAACAACAATTCTGACTTGGATGACGATGAAACAATTTAGCACTGGAGGACAAAAGAGTAAAAATTCTGCTTCTATAGGAAAGGAAGAGGCTAGCTAGTCAATCAGCTTGGTAAGGAACATCAGTCTCGGCTTTTTCTAGAGAATGGGAGGGGGAAGTGGGTAAAGACCAAAATAAACAAAATCTCATTCACATTTCACAGCCAGTGCCATTCCGGAGAGGAGGCCAGTGACTCAGGGCTCTGTTAGGAACACCATGTTTCTTGTTTTAGTGAGAGAAAGTTAGGCTCCGGGCCATTTCCAGAGTCCATCCGAGCTCATCCTTCCAAGCAGGAGTTTTATGTGTATCTGGGCATACAATAGAGTTTCTAATGAATTAAATATCTGTCCAAACCAACCAAGCTCCGAACAGTCATTTACATTTTTGAGACACCCCCTCTTTGCCGGCTTGCCTTCCCCTCTTCCCCAGTCTCTTTAAAGATACTTCAGGCCGTAATCCTCAAAGCAGCAGCTGGTCGGATTCTTCTGGACTTGCGTCTCTCCCAGGACTGAGGCTCGGAGGGAAGGAAGCGGAGAGAAAGAAGGCTGCGGCTCTTTTACTGTGATTCGGGTTTACCCGCTGCTGCTGCTGCAGAGGCGGCCCCTTCTAGGGCGCGGCTCGGGGCTCGGGGCCAGATGCTTATCCTGGCCACTCCTCTTCTGCGCCCCTCACAGGGCCCCGATTGGCTGGTGGAGCGGACTGGGTCCTCTCCCCTCCAGGGCGGGATCCTCACAAATACCAGGCGGAGTGCCGCACCCATTGGCTGGCAGTCTGGAAACTTAACTAACCTATTGCTGTCATCTTTTGCACCCGGTGCCCCTCCCTATTCCACTCTTGTCCCCTTGCTCTCTCGAGAAGAAAGAACACCCCTCTCTCCCCCTCCTCTCGGGCAGATCCCCTGATCCCAGGGCAGACTAAAGGAACCTGTGAACCCACAGACAGCTCTGCCAAACTTCTGAGGACTTGAGTCAACTTTCAGGGGCAGGATGATCGTGGGGCGCTGGCCAGGGATATCCCTTCTACTCGTTCTTCTCGTCTGCTCTCTGGCTCCAGCTCGAGGTGAGAGGCCATGCTCGCCCCAGCTTTTGCCGGAGTTGGGGTGTGTGGGAGTCATAGAGTGGCCCTTTCGGATGGGGGAGGGAAGGATTCAAAGACGGGGAGGGTGGGCAGTCCTCAAATCAGCCCTCCTGGGAGGGGGTTCTTGGGCAGACCCGGGAAGGCCTGTCCAGGCATTCGGGGATCCCTCTAGCGGGCCCCTGGGGGCCCGAAGAAGTGGGAGCAGAGCCTCTGCTCCCATTTGGGAGAGGGTGGTCTTGGTATCAGTGAAGTTCTACTTTAAGTTTTGGGAGCAGTCTTCAGAAAGAGGAGACCAGAAACTGGGCTTGTTTTTCTTCCGTTATTAAACAGAGTAGGAAACGTCAGCATTGGGGGAGGGAGGAGGAATTTTTGGAAAACTTGTTTGCCTTGCGTGGTTCTTATGCCTCTTGCAAGTATTCTGTACGCACTGCAGTTAGTTTTGCCATTTCCCAGAGAGTAAGTTGCAACTTACTTCCAAGTGAAAATACCTGGGCAGCAAGTTTAACGGGAGAATAATTAGCAAAGAACTGGTTAGGTTTTTATTGATTGCCTATGAAGTTATTAAAAGAACTAGCAGACCACTGGATTGAAGCCTGGTCATTGGTCAGAGCTGGTTACTTTTTTTTCACCATCAAAAAAGTTTGATACTCTAAAAAGGAGAATGGGCATCTTTAGTAAAGAAGATCAATAATATTTTCAATAGGAGAACTATATTTTTCTCTCAGGATGCAGTAGAGAAAGATTAAACAGATGTTTGCATCAAGAGGATTCATTACGGAATAGCTTCATAGTGATATTAATGATTCAACTTTTGCTTACCGCAGATGTCCTTTAATTATGTGGATGAGGCAGGTAGAATTGGTGGCTATTTTTTGAGAAGTAGAAATAACAAAAGTATATTAATAAAAAAAGGGAAGGTAGCATATGTATTTATGCAATATATGTGAATATATGGACATATTTAGTGTACATTCACATATCCATTTATATGTGTATGTGCATGTATATATACATACATACCTATATATATATACATATTATATATACATATAAAGAGATATATGTGTAGTAAGTAATGGTTTCACAACTCTTCCTTTGTCTCTCTGGAAGTAGTACTATACTTCCAAGTAGTGTTTTTAAAATCCAGATAGCTTATAAGCTTAATTTAAGTATGTGCCTGCCTGCTGCATAAAGGTAAAGATTGGAGAAGACCCAGAGAAGTTTTCAGTTTCTTGTTGGAATGCCAGCAATGTGGCATTTAAGCATTGGGGGGGGGGGGTCCCTGCTTGGAACCATGTTCTTAGTAAGTATTTTAAAAACAATTCACAGAATATGAGGTACTCATTTTTTTGTGCTTTTTATTTCTAGTAGAAATTTTAAGTTGAAGGTTGGGTGTTTATAAAATTTATGGAGATTGGGGGAAAAAGGAAAGAAGACCACACTAGATGCACAAGAGTTTTAGAATGTTTTTCATATCTTCCTGCCCCACCTTTTGTTTGAGTGTCCTTCCTAGTCAGGTTTGGGTCCTAAAATGAAGTTGATTATTGCAGCAAAGGAAAATCAGTGTGGTAGCCACCATTCTCTCTTTTTATGTTTCATATATCTGGCGGTATATGTTACTGTTGAATTGCTGAATGTTTTCCTTAGGCCCAAGAAAAAAAAATCACATCAGGACATAGATATTTAAGGAAGTAATATTTCTGCACTTTCACTTGTCTTCAGTAATGGTTGGACATTTTAGATGGAAACATTTATGTAAAGAAAGAAGTGAGGTGTAAAACATTTGATCTCTTGGAGCCTTATCCCTCCTAAAATATAGGGATGGACTGAGGTTCAGGGAACTCCAAAATTACAATGAGTATTGTGCCCCAAAATATTTTCTAAATTTTTTTAAAATAAGAAATATCACTTCCCATAACACTTGTAATGGTGAATACGGTCTCACAGTATCTTATACAAGTCTATGTAGCTACTAGTTCAATTAGATTTTGGTATCAATAGTGAGTTCTGGATTCTGGAAATGTGGAAGTGAATGGTCCAGAATAAAAATAAGGAGTAGAGTATCACAGATTTTCGTGGATTCTGTTTTTTAAAAAAAAAAAAAGATTTCCAAGTTTTGCTACAATAGATCTCATGACTACAACAGTGAAAGGTTTTTATTCTTGTTTTGCTTTTTGTAGGGGATAGTGGGGGGCAGTAGACTTTGTAAGTATAGGTCTTTTTAAGTGTGGGTTGAGTGGTGGTTGCTGCTAGACAGTGGTGTGCTGGAGTCTGCTCAAACTAGTATTCAGAAATCAGCAAATCTACAAATTGGTACTTGATTTATTGCTATCTTTATTTATTATTGTTAGTTTTATTTATTGTTGTCTAGACCTAAGATTGTAAAAATAATAATGCAGATTAAACTCAAAAGCATGTGGTGTCCTCTGTACAGAGAGCCAGTTAAACATTTACCAGCACACTACTGGTTGCAAAATCAGAAAAACTTCTGCAAATTGGAATTCTAAGTGGTCAATCCAGGGTCTATCATTGATTCACTGGTAAAGATGTGACCCAATTTCTATGCTGTGTCATTTGGACTAGATCGGACTGCCTACACAATTTAAGAACATCTGTTAACTAAGTAAAAACTAATTAAATAATGTGAGGCCCCTCTTGTGAGCTTTCCTTGCTTTAATCAAGTCTGGTCATGTTTTTAATATCTTCTTCCAACAGTGTCTGTCTTGTGTCAGGCAAAGCTGGAGAAATACTAAGAAGTAATCACCATGTCATTTTTGAAAAGGAAGAAGATATTTTTAAATATTATGCTCACCAGAAAATTTGCTCTAAACTATTAACATACTTGAATGGCTGTGGTAAAAATTCATGTTTTAACTGACTTGATGCATTTCCTTCTGATGCATCTCCCTTCTGAGTTTAATTTTTTTTAATAAGTTCCCCTTTATCATGGAAATGTATTTTAGTATTTGTTTTCTCCTTGGGAAGAGTGCTTTTTCTTTCATGTAAAGATCAAAATTTGTAGCTGAGGGCTGTCTTTTAGATGAATTAAATATGAATTAAATTAAATGTGACCAATGAGTGTTTTCTGCAGTGCAGATTTTATATAAACTCTGACAGGATTTTATCAGTGATACAGAATGAATACACCTTAAAAATAAATTCTTTCTTATAAAATTATTTTTCCACATTATACATTTTTCAAAATGATATCCCACGAACTTTTGGAAAAGTGATCCTTTTTGTTACAGAAATTTTCCATTATTAACAACTTTAAATTTCCTTATAAGTTGTAGACAGAGTAAGAACTAACAAAGTAGTGTGGTAGAAAGGGTACCCAGCCTTTTTTATGAGACCTGAGTTCAAATCCCTGTTCCGACATTTATTCCTACTCTCTAGGCCTCAGTTTCTTCATTTATGAAATGAGGAGATTGGGCAGGATGGTCTCCCTCCAAGTTCCCTTCCAGCCCTTTGTCTATGATCCTAATAATTTTGTAGACTCTGACTAAATCCTTTTAGGATAGGAAATCTTATGCTTTTGGTCCCACTTCTCAGTGAGTGAGTGCGGGAAGTTACTGGAGACCAGCTGCCAGATTATTTTATTAGACATTATTCATATACAAGATAAATGTTCTCCAATTTTCTTGATTAAATATAGGGATTATTATATACTTAAGGGGATTGCAGAAGTTTTTTTGGATAAAACATTAAAGCTTGAGGGAGCCTTTAAAGGGAATAAGGATGATTCAAATGTGTATGTGTGTGTGTATCACCTATTAGAAGGGAATGTTTTAAGATTCCAATACCTTCAGATAAAACACTGCAATATTATTTGTAGAAAACAATTTCACAGGGGCAGCTAGGTGGCACAGTAGATAGAGCACTAGGCTTGGAGTCAGGAGGACTTGAGATCAAAACCAGCCTCAGAACATATAGGCAGACATTTACTACCTGTGTGACCCTAAACAAGTCACTTAACCCCAATTGCCTCACCAAAAAAAAAAAAAAAGAAAACAATTTTACTAACTTTGTAATAGTAAAGTAGTATCCAGGTTTAAGTTGGAGATGACTTGTCAGTCTTTGGGTATGCTTTAGAAATACTCAGTGTCACTCATGTAGCAATCCTTGTGGTTGCACAAATCATATAAGAATATAGATGTTCAGGAAATACAACTTCCTTTTTCCTCTCTCAGTTAGATGAAGATTTCTGCTACCTCAGCTCCTATCAATCACAGAATCTCAAAAGAAATGGCCTTTCAACATAGCTTTTAATAGAACTATGTCTCATCTCTTTGAAGTGCAAAGCACATACAATTTTAGGGATGCTTACTAAAAACAGGTAATAGACTCTTTAGATTGGAGAATAAGTCACTAAAGTTGAGATGGAACCTTGTCATGGATGGGAAAAATTCTCCTTAACCAATATAACCCAAACGATTCTTGTATCATAGTAATGTCAATTTTTATTACTGCAGTTTGAGCAGTCATTTATCTAATTATGGTGTTGTTAGCCAAAATATGTAAACAAAGAGTGTATCAATTGCAATAGATTATATTATAATAAAATTATCAAAATGTGTATTGTAATGAATAGAATGCTGGACTGGGAATTAGGAAGACCCGTATTCTAATCCTGTTTCTGACACTGTGAGCAAGTATCTTAACCTTTGAGTTTGTTTCCTCATTTTTAAAACGGAAATAATGATGTTTACAGTATTTATCTCCAAGGTTATTGTGAAGTCCAAATAAGATAAGGAATGCAAAGCATTTTGCAAATTTTAAAGTGATATATAAATGAATTTAAAATGACAATGATATTATTATTACTTGTAAAGAGCAAATTTATCAACACTATCTTTTAAGGTAAAGGATATTAAGTAGTATAGTCTTTTGATTATGTCAATAACTAAATATTTACCAGTCAAAATATTTTTGTTCAATCAACGACAAAACATTTATTAAGCACCTGCTGTGGCATTTTGCTA